GATACTTTTCAATACTATCACTTCATGTTAGGGTATCTTTATCAGGTTCATGTTGGAAGGATAGTTTTTAATACATACCACTTTATGTTAGGGTATTTTTATCTTTATCAGGTTCCTGTTGGAAGGATAGTTTTTAATACATACCACTTCATGTTATGGTATGTTTGTCTTTATCAGATTCATGTTGGTAAGATAGTTTTTAGTACATACCACTTCATGTTAGGGTATGTTTATCTTTATCAGGTTCCTGTTGGAAGGATAGTTTTTAATACATACCACTTCATGTTATGGTATGTTTGTCTTTATCAGATTCATGTTGGTAAGATAGTTTTTAGTACATACCACTTCATGTTAGGGTATGTTTATTTTTATCAGATTCATGTTGATAGGAACAATTCACATACCTCGAATGGCTTTGCTATGCTTTTGTATCATAAAAAAGTGTATGATCATTTGAGTACTTTCTCAAAATCAATTGAAATACATTCATATAAGTTTAATATCCATATTCGTTATATAAATAGCCTCTGTTAAAAGGAAAACAATACAATTACTGACATTATAAATATTTATATCATAACTGTAAAAGCACGAGTGTGTCAAGGATAATTACATTACATGCTTTAAGTGCGTGTGACATTGCTATATATTGAAATCCCTAAGGATGCTAGTTGAACTAAGAGGTAAAACACTTTTCTTGTATTAAATAGAATCTGTGATGGTTTTAATTAAACGAATTGGATAATGTAATTTGCCTAGATTATAGTTTCTAAAAGTAAAAGAGCTGGAGAATCGCAATATGAATATTTTATCTATGCTATTTTTGTACAACGTGTTTTCCAATAAAGAAATTTCCACAGACCAAGGGAGTTCTTAAATTTTAGAATCGAAGAACATTAGAACCAAGATTCGTTATTAGAAAATTAATCAAACTTATCTTACGTTTAAGAGAGACTTTTTTTTTTTTAGCTCTCATTCAACTGATTTCCTCAAAACCGACCGAGTGGAACAAAACGAATATTTCAATTTACATATTACAATAGGCTTTTTTTTTTCCAGCTGTGAAGTCTGATTTGATCTGTGATTGTGTTTTCGAGATCTTCTTTAGAACCAGCCTTCTTCTCGTGAATGGTGAAGCAGAGATTATGTTGAAGAGATTCATGATCTCGACATTTGGGCTAGCACATTTATCAGACCTCTGTCTTTTACATCAGCTTGAACTATGGTCCATCTTGACAGCTTAAACCACGTGACATCACTGTCAGCCGAACGCCACGCCTTATTGGCTTTTCCATTTTAAAATCTGATTTTCATTAAGTAAAAAGAAATATGTAATCGATAAAAGGAGGCGGATAAATACCGAGTGGACTTTGGGCTATAAGTTATACTTCATATTCAAGTCGATATGTTTAAGCTATTTTAAAACCTCATTATAAAGGATGTAACTATTTTCATGTTACTGCAAAAGTGATATATATATATGTATATATTGCTATAGTTATATTCTGAGGTTTAATAATTCCTTGTTTCGGTTTATAAATATAACAATTGCTTTATCACACCAATGTAATAATTTATCAACCTTCTTGTGTAAAATCTCTTGGACTACGTGAACAGTCAAAGATTGCTTAGCTACTTAGGCCTCTGATATAATAGTTCGTCGTACAACGATAAATATTATTAATCCTTCTATCGTAAAACTGTAAAAACCTTTCTTCTGTAATGCCATTAGAAGTTTTATGATACAAAATAATGCATAATTACCTGTAGGCTTGGCAGAAGTGTAAGAACTTAATTGTATCATCCTCAACAAATTTCTTAATACCCAAATATATTTGGCGTATGAACGTATGCACGAAGAGTGTAATTAAATAACCAGTTTCGTGTTCTGACTACTTTCTAAGTCCTTTAAAGTATGGTGAAATCAGATGTATACATTCAAGATGGGCGTTTTTAAGAAATCGGACGTCACCTTTTTTAGTTGCCACAACAAATTTTCACGCTAGGGAAAGTTAGAGTTTTACTGGTTAATTTGGAACGATACAGAGGCAAGGCGTGAGCTAATTGTGAACGAGTAAACCCGTCTTAGTTTCATTACATAATACTAACTAATTTACTGCCAAGTTAAACAGGGTAAACATATCTAAGAGCTCAGTCCACGAAGATTATCATGGGAATTATGTTTCGTTATTACTGTCGTTCTTGAGCAGTATCATTTTAACTCATTGCATTAAAGTTAGCTGCCGAATAAACCCGATCTTTAGTTCCTTGAGGTGTAAAATATAATAACTTTACTAGCTGTTCTTTGCAGTAAAATATAGAAGTAAATGTTTATATAGCTGCCGAATAAACCTGATATTCAGTTCCTTGAGGTGTAAAAGATAATAGCTTTACTAACTGTTCTTTGTAGTAAAATATGGAAGTAAATGTTTATATAGCTGCCGAATAAACCTGATATTCAGTTCCTTGAGGTGTAAAAGATAATAACTTTACTAACTGTTCTTTGTAGTAAAATATGGAAGTAAATGTTTATATAGCTGCCGAATAAACCTGATAGTCAGTTCCTTGAGGTATAAAATATAATAACTTTACTAGCTGTTCTTTGTAGTAAAATGTGAAAGTAAATCTTTATATAGCTGCCGAATAAACCTGACATTCAGTTTCTTGAGGTGTAAAAGATAATAACTTTACTAGCTGTTCTTTGCAGTAAAATATGGAAGTAAATGTTTATATAGCTGCCGAATAAACCTGATATTCAGTTCCTTGAGGTGTAAAAGATAATAACTTTACTAGCTGTTCTTTGTAGTAAAATGTGGAAGTAAATGTTTATATAGCTGCCGAATAAACCTGAAATTCAGTTCCTTGAGGTGTAAAAGATAATAACTTTACTAGCTGTTTGGTACCTTGGTGGATAGAGAAATGTTTACGGACTTACAACACTAAAATTTGGGATTCTGTTCCCTGCGATGAACACAAAAGATAGCCCAATGTGGCTTTTTTTGCTCTAAAAGAAACAAATTCACTGCCGGTAAAAAAGGTTAGAAAAAAAAACGACCTTTATACGTTTCGCCTTTGCGGCTTTATCAGGGTTAGTACATACAACTGTTTGATATTAGAATATGAAGCCTGATGAAGGTGAAACGTTGGTTAAAATATAAAAGTTCTTTATAATTATCTGGAGTTTAAAGGTCGTTTTTTGATAACCTTTTTATCAAAATGTGCAAGTCCCTCCAGTGTGCGCTACAAATTTTCAAAGACGACAAAAAATTCACTGCTTCTGAACTCTTGTTACGTATGATACCTTTAATATTTACACTCTAATAATAATAATAATAAATGTCTAGAGCTTGACAACAGAATCATGTAAATATCTGTTTATAACTCTTCTGGCAACAAAATGTAAGTTCCTATCCTGCCGTAGAAGTACTTTCTCTTTTGGATAACGTAATGGACACTTTGAATATTACCTCCAAATGATTTAGCGAAAAATTGTGGTTCAATACCCGTGGTGGGCAGAGTATGAGGTAATACGATTTCTTAGACCAAAAGCGAATTTTAAGGTAACATAACGCAACGGAAAAAAAGTATATGTAAAATACAAACATCATCTTAATTATTTTAGCTACAAATATGTATTTGAAGCTGTGCTAATGTTTTGACAAAAAATATTTTGATTGTACCTTGAAAAACGTTCATTTTAAGAATTGAATAGAGTTTTATTTTTATGAAAATAATTGTACTCTCCATGTATTCAATTTGTCCTCCATGCTTTAAGTCATTTCGATGACTTAGTACACTGAAACGTCGAGATCGTTTTCGAGAATTGGCAACTAATTTTAAACGAAATTAAAGAGAGGGTTGAAATGGAAGGTTTTTGTACATATTTTAACACACTATGACAGATAGATTACCATGCGCGCAGAAAACCCTACAATTCCTCACGTTTCGGCCATAATTCAGCTATCTTTGGGTACGTGGTCTCATTTTGGTATTGAAGCTTAGTACCAATTATCCAAATTGTTTTATATATATCTACAGAGCTTATCAGAAATTTAAGTTTTACGAGTCAAACCTAATCATTATCTATGAATGCTCAAAAAGTTACTTAGCCTTGTTAGGCTTAGCTCAGAAATAGTTTCTGTTACAACAACCAAGCAACAATGTGACATTGAATTTGATTATATATATATTAAACCCTGAATAGACGTTTCAGTAGTGGGTTTGAACTTTACTAAAATTAACAAAACGCATATTTATTTAGTTGATCGGGAAAACAATAAATATATTTCGAAATTGACATGCAAAATTGACAAGTACTGAAAACGAAATCACAATAAGATTTGTTGATCGTTATTCATAATACACAGATTATGAAAGTGTTGTCAATACATATTAAGATGTTTTATATATGTATGAACTTATTTCGTCAATCATAAGAAATCCACCAGTTGTATATTACAATTTTTAATGTTACCCTAATGGCTTCCACCTAGAAGTCCCTGATAAGGGATGTAAGATTATGTATGGTTATAATGTCCATCCTTTTTTTCTAAGTATCTTAACAAATAAGACAAATCTAATGTTACCCTAATGGCTTCCACCTAGAAGTCCCTGATAAGGGATGTAAGCATTATGTATGGTTATAATGTCCATCCTTTTTTTTCTAAGTATCTTAACAAATAAGACAAATCTAATGTTACCCTAATGGCTTCCACCTAGAAGTCCCTGATAAGGGATGTAAGCATTATGTATGGTTATAATGTCCATCCTTTTTTTTCTAAGTATCTTAACAAATAAGACAAATCTAATGTTACCCTAATGGCTTCCACCTAGAAGTCCCTGATATAGGATGTAAGCATTATGTATGGTTATAATGTCCATCCTTTTTTTTTCTAAGTATCTTAACAAATAAGACAAATCTAATGTTACCCTAATGGCTTCCACCTGGAAGTCCCTGATAAGGGATGTAACCAATCGTATTACACCTTTTATTTAGGTGTCTTGGGTTCGACAACATGATCTCCACATATTGACTGTTGGCAGCTACACCTATACTAGTGACCAAAGGTTCAAATCCCTTCATCTGGAAGGCACAACTGACTGGACGTTGAAAATACAGTACACCAAGAAGCATGACACTGGAGTTTACGAGTGTCAGATCAGTACAGAGCCAAAACTTAGTCTGAATTACACTTTAAACGTTGTCGGTAAGAATTCTGTACTACGTTAATTGAACATGTTGCTACCCTTAAACGTGACATGACTCGTAACACAACATTAACTAGAAGGAGCTGGGATTATTTTCAAACTCTTCAAAGGCATCGTCTATTTAAGATCGTATTACTGTATTAAAAAAGAACATAAAAACATATACACCAAATAGTGAAAATAAGTGCTCCCCCCTCTCAAAGCGAATGCCGGTTAGATTACATTATGTATTTTTTTTTATAGATATATAAAACGACCTTAGATAAGTTCACTTTATCGATGATTCAGGTTGAATTTTTTTAATCTAAGTTCAATCTGAGATTTCAAGTTTTGATAATGAAAATTTCAGCGCTTGCTTTTAATTTAATAATTCAATACTTAATAGTATACAAAATAAATTTAAGAAATTGTTTTAATTTAAGTAATTTTAGCTCGGGTTTTACTATGTAAAGTATGTAATTTTGCCATCGAATAAGCTATAGAGCGAAATAAAAATTAATTGCTTTTTCATGTAAAAAAAGTAAAAAGAAGACTATATTAATAGAGCTCGAGCTGAACATAATACATCTTTGTAGCAAAAGAAATAATAGCTTTTTAATGAAACAGATATAAGTACCCTGTATGCTAAGGTTAAAAAAAAAAATTCAAAATTCAGAATAATTCATTATAAAATAATGGTTTGAATATAAATGTTTGATAATTTCCCTAGTGGCTAAAGCAGTAATTATAGAAGGAGAAAAACTTTACATCCAGAGTGGAAGTATCATCAACCTCACGTGCGTCATCACGGACAATAAGGATCCTCCTATATACGTTTTCTGGTACCACAATGGGAAGATGATAAATTATGAGACCGACAAAGGGATCGAGGTGGTAACTGACAAGGGCCCTACAACAGTTAGCAAGCTTCGGATCGAGAACGCTAAGTCGAGTAATTCTGGGAATTATTCATGTTCCCCTTCTTATTCAGATTCTGCAAATATTACCGTGCACGTTCTCGACGGTAAGTAGAACTATAACATATAGAATATTCTGAATTATAGCGTAATCTGCTATGATGTTTCAATATTCGAAAGTAAATTCATTTGCATTTGTTCATTGTATAGATAACGATATAGTAATAATACATACCACTAAAAAATAGTAGACACGTAAAATCTAGACAAAATACACACTGTAGCAATCCTATTTTTTACACGTGTTTGAAGAACGTCCCTGCTCTGTCTTACGTCTACTAAGGGCGAGCTCTTTATTACTAAACAGTTCAATTGTTTTACTGAAACTCCAGATTTTACCAAACTTTCTCATAACTCCAAGTGTTACTTCTGTCACCCTTATTTTCAGAACGTTTGATGTCAACATTCACTCGGGGTGGAAAGGGTGAGATTGTAGCAAAATGCTACAGTATTTGTTCACGTTTTTGATTAGTTCATAAACTGTGTGATTGCGAATTAAGTGGTAATAGTCATGTATCTTTAGCTTTGTTCTATAATTCTAGTAGGTAACTCTGAATGGAGAGGTAAGGAGAAAATAATAGTGAATAAAAACGACTTAGTTTACTAGAAAGTTTGAAAGTAACGGTGAAGTTTGCAGTAAATGCTATCAGTCAAGCGTGAAAAATATAAAGGTATCGTTCTAGATTTACTGCATATAATAAGGTTTAAGATCTGTCCCTGAGAATAAAGGCACAAATGCTGATGATGAAAAGGCCGTTTTTCAAAGCTCTTAAGCTTTCGTAGTTATTCACGGTATTATTTTATCTTTAAATGGCTAAGAACCAGCTCTGATATACTTACTAATGTTTTACTTTTCCCAGCGGGAGCATATGTAATAATAATAATAATATGAACGAAGACTTGGTGTTAAAATACAACTGTATTTTATTTAGTTGCTACGCTCATAGAAATTCGCATACGTTCCTGTGTTTAAACACCTTTAGAAAAACGGACCGTGCTTTTGTAATCTGCAACAACTTTGACCTTAACATGAAATCAAGGTCAAGCTGAAAAGGCTATTTTGGGGATTGAAATTTGCTGCGTTAATAGATTTCACAAGATTTTTGAAAACCAAATTTTCTCATGCTATACTTCAGAACTTCTGACAGGGCATGGAGGTGTATGATTACAACAAATAAAGTCTCTATAATTCAGAGTTGTATAACCTGGAAAGTATAATGAAATTCATTCATCACACACTATAAGTGGTAGTTGTACGTTACAGCCCATCTGTATGCTTCTTTACTTTTGTTTGGAGAGCTGTATAAGAGTTCTTAAGTTCATTTACGAGTAGTAGTACTAGTGAATTCTGATTATTAGATTATCAAGGCGAGAAATGTTAGATTAGAGGTAAAGGATGGAGAATGAAGATTTCACATAAATTCATAAATCCTAAATTTGTGAAGTCTATTCAGACACTGACAGATATATTCTAAGGCTTTTCCAAGGAGATACTAAAATAACTAGATCCTCATTATTCATGAACCAAAAGTAGCATTTCCTTTAAAATAATACAAACTAATTCGTTCCTGAGCTGATGGATGTGTAAATTCCTGTTGCATGCTCCAATAATTGAGTCTGATTATCTCCAGTGTCTTCGTGGAAACCAGAGTATTTCAAAACGGATCACTAATGATTATTCGTTGTGAAATGAGTAATATTTAAAGAGAGTATTTAAAGGGCTCACTAATTAATTAAATTATTCTTTAAAAATCAAAGACTTTAGTATATCTTTCGAATAATGTAAAGACGAACAGCGCTACGTATTTTTAGCGTTAGTAAATATTCTGGTTCGACAAGTATAACTAACAAATTTATCACCATTATCAAAGCAAACTTTGATGACGGGCTCTGCTAAGAGCATCTTAATGACTTTAAAAAAAAACGAACTCTCTACTGACATTTTCTAGATCGGTTTCATGAGACAATATTTGAAAGAGGCCGTGATGGAGTAAGAGTAAGTAATCAGTGTTTGGATTAAAGTTGAAAGGATTTTATTTTGTTATGTTTGCTTTACAAAGTTGACTTAATCTAAGATGGAAAATAAAGAGCCTCTAACGTATATTTCAGTCTTTTATATTTCTAATTTGTTTTGTCAGAATTATGTCATTGATAAAGCATGTTCTCCAGCGAGCACTTTGGGTAGTATTAGTTTTAGTTGTTCTTGTTTTACATGCACAACGGTGAAGAGAAACCTTCGTCTTGAAAAGTTTACTATGAATGTCTGTAGACGATATCCTAATAGAATTCGGTGGTTAAACCTTTTGCTACCAATTTATGATAGAAAGTGGACACACATGCCACGTGGGTAGCAGAAAGGTCACGTTAGCAACCACAATTTCACGATTTAAGCTATAGGACATTACGACAAATAAATGATAGTTGTAGTTTCATGATAAAAGGGTGACAAACAAGTTAATGGTTCATATGACTTTCACATTACGACAAATAACTGATAGTTGTAGTTTCATGATAAAAGGGTGACAAACAAGTTAATGATTAATAGGACTTTCACATTACGACAAATAACTGATAGTTGTAGTTTCATGATAAAAGGGTGACAAACAAGTTAATGGTTCATTACCTGTGAATACATCACCGATAAACTTCCGTGATGTTCAGAAATCACTACCTAAGTTATAGTTTTCAGGTAGTCTTGAACATTGTAATGTTGCTTGGGTAACTAGAACACTTAATATAAAACATCACCTTAATACATCAACGAAATATTTTATTTACTTTAACAAGTGGCTAAAAAATGTGCACAGCAAACATTTGCTCATTCTAAACCATTTCGTCAGTGAATAGACATATATTTTTCCTCCTAGGGGATAAGCCAGCGGCTATGCACCACGGACAACATACCAGCCAAGGAAGTACGATCACCTGTAATGTCGTCCTTTTACTTATCACATGGTTTCTGGCCCATACATTGTGCCTTGAGACAAGATATAACCTCAGCGGAGTTTGGAACCAACCCAGCTGACTTCGTACGTGTTATCAGCTTCAACTTTTGTGTGTGTGTGTGTGTTGTCAAACACCACCTGTCACTGTACTCGTATCATGTCAGTTAAATCCGTGTATGCGGTGTGCTGTTAAAAGTCTTCTGGAACATTTTATCACTAAAGTCTTCACACCCCGACAGATAATCCCGCTCATCGTCGTTGGACCATCACTGTTTTACTTTCGGTTCGTTCAAGTGCTTTTTTCAGTTGGCGTTGGAAATAAACTCGGAAAACGGTCTCTGGTCAGTCATCCAGAATGACCTCGTCACCAAGATTTTTAATCCTGGAATTAACTAACATGACTTCATTTTATGTGCTCTTTGTAGAATGCGGTGAAGTTTGCGACATGTCTATCTAATAAATCTCGATCTTATTAGTCTGAGATATGTCAAGGAGACAATTCATAAAAAAAAAAAATAATAATGTTGATTCCTGATCTGGATATATTATATAGCTTTAGTGACATGTCTGCATGTTTATTCATATAATATTATGTAGAAGTGGAAAAAATATGATATCACCTGTTTGTTTGTTTTTTCTTTTTAATTTTATTCTGTAGTCACTAAAGGTGTTGAGGGGAAGAAATTCAGGAACTCTGCAAAGCTGCTTTGCAACGTTCTCTTTCTGTAGGGAGTTTTCTCTGAAAACCGTGGAACAAAATGGACTCATCAACTTTAGTGACGTAACATAGATCAAAGAAACCGTCAGCGTCTGTTTCTTACTTGTAAACGCTGTCACAAGCCAGCTGTAGAATATAATGATATGCTAATAAATAAGGTGTCAGTAGCTCGTATTTCTGCATTTCGTACTCACTTTAACTGACTACTTAACACATTTAAGGGGCAGAATCGTATAAGTAGAATATTCTTTTTTTACGACGCAGACAAATACAAACAGTAAACTGCTTACAATATATGATAGTAATAATAATAAACATGCAATTACAAGATGAAAATTTAACATTATCATGTTTAGGCGAAATTTACTAGCAGCCCAAAACAATGTACACACACACAAAAAAAAAACAACAATTAATGTACAAACGAATGTCTATCTTTTGTCAGGTGTCCTTAATTGGAAATTGTATATGTAGTTTTTTTTTCTCCCTGACAAACGGGATGATAGAAAATTTAAAAGCTTTATTTCTTACGGGTGGTAGATAAGATGAATCAAAAGATCCACTTAGATTTCAACATCATTAAATATGTGAAAATACGAAAAATATTTGGTAATTATTAAGTTTTCGAAACACAAAATAACCAGTTGTCTACAGAATTAGTAAACATATATATGTATTAATCACAATGTTCCAGTTTCAACTACTACACACATACGTATATTACTGAAACAGTGCTGATTGTGTTAATCACAATGTTCCAGTTTCAACTACTACACACATACGTATATTACTGAAACAGTGCTGATTGTATTAATCACAATGTTCCAGTTTCAACTACTACAAATATACGTATATCACTGAAACAGTGTTGACTGTGTTAATCAAATCTCCTAGTTTCAACTACTACACATATAAGTATATTACTGAAACAGTGTTGACTGTGTTAATCACAATGTTCTAGTTTCAACTACTACAAATATACGCATATTACTGAAACAGTGCTGATTGTGTTAATCACAATGTTCTAGTTTCAACTACTACAAATATACGCATATTACTGAAACAGTGCTGATTGTGTTAATCACAATGTTCTAGTTTCAACTACTACACACATACGTATATTACTGAAACAGTGCTGATTGTGTTAATCACAATGTTCTAGTTTCAACTACTACACATATAAGTATATTACCAAAACAGTGCTGATTGTGTTAATCACAATGTACAACACTCCTAGAACAACACAGTTGTCGTAGTAAAAAGAGAAAATTTGGATATTTTAAAGTCGTTTAACTGCATTAGAAAAAATCAATAGCGAAAATAACATTTCAAAAAATAAAACTTTAGCCTTCTTCAGAATAAATACCAAGACTTTTTAAGAAAATAACTAATTACATGTAAAGGTTAAAAGAAAGATTTATCTGTTCTTTGTTGTATCATGAGAAAGACGGGGTAATAGATTAGCACATGGAGTTTGGGAAACAGGAACGCTTTTTGACATGAAACATGAATTATATGGAAAATAGAATTAATTGAATCTTACATACAAGTTCTACAATCTTGCAAGCTGTTATTCATTTTCTATACAAGTCGGGTTTGAAAGTATCACATTTTAATTTATCACCTTTCTAATAGCTAAGGAACAGAATTTGCTGATTTGGCTAGATTTAGTTATTAGCCAAATTATACGAATACATCGTCTTTAGTGTCACTAAGCACGATGGTGATAAGCATAAATATTAGCAGATTGCTTAAAATTGATATTTTAAACAGCTGATCAATTTATCAGTTCTGGTAGATTAGGCTGTAGGCTTAATACGTGATGCAGAAAAGGAATACAAACACGCAATTTTCTAAGGCGACTAAAATTAACATCAACTGCTCATCTTTTATATAAACACATCAAGTATTGAGAGTAAACTGATAATAACATGTGAGGAAAGTTTGTTCTTCACTAGGGGTCGTTTCAAAATATAAAAGAGTTCTGCAAATCAATGGTTTATCAACAAATTTAATGTAAGGTAATTCTCTAATTTTTAAATGATTTATTAAAATTATTAATTGTTTAAGTGATTTCCCCTATGTCTATGCTATAAAATTACATTTGATGAATAATTCACATATTTGTAGCTCATTGAAATAATAAAGCCTTCAAAATCAGTTGGCTCGAAGAACCGTATTTCCACTATTAGTTAAATGTAGTATTATAACGATCAGTTTGTTACCATAGTTATTGTGTGTGAACGTTATAAGACACATCATTCACTAAAGTAATACGAAACCTTACTGGATAGTCTGTTGGCAGAATTAAGGCAAGCTACCTTACTGGATAGTCTGTTGACAGAATTAAGGCAAGCTGTCTTACTGGATAGTCTGTTGACAGAATTAAGGCAAGCTACCTTACTGGAAAGACTGTTGACAGAATTAAGGCAAGCTACCTTACTGGATAGTCTGTTGACAGAATTAAGGCAAGCTACCTTACTGGATAGTCTGTTAACAGAATTAAGGCAAGCTACCTTACTGGAAAGCTGTTGACAGAATTAAGGCAAGCTACCTTACTGGAAAGACTGTTGACAGAATTAAGGCAAGCTACCTTACTGGAAAGTCTGTTGACAGAATTAAGGCAAGCTACCTTACTGGATAGACTGTTGACAGAATTAAGGCAAGCTACCTTACTGGATAGTCTGTTGACAGAATTAAGGCAAGCTACCTTACTGGAAAGACTGTTGACAGAATTAAAGCAAGCTATGTTACTGGAAAGTCTGTTGACAGAATTAAGGCAAGCTACCTTACTGGAAAGACTGTTGACAGAATTAAGGCAAGCTACCTTACTGGAAAGTCTGTTGACAGAATTAAGGCAAGCTACCTTACTGGAACGTCTGTTGACAGAATTAAGGCAAGCTACCTTACTGGAAAGACTGTTGACAGAATTAAAGCAAGCTACCTTACTGGAAGGACTGTTGACAGAATTAAGGCAAGCTACCTTACTGGAAAGTCTGTTGACAGAATTAAGGCAAGCTACCTTACTGGAAAGACTGTCGACAGAATTAAGGCAAGGTGATATTTAACAGCTATTAATTATTATTGTGATTCTAAACGTGGGAATTTCTGAGTTGCATAATTTTAAACAAGTTTAGTAAATATATGCTGCTATTAGAAAGAAGTGAACGACGTACTTGAATTAGTTTTATACGCCCCATAAACATAATAAATATTAATAATTTTATTTAAAATGCCGTCCCCGAAACCATCTATCTGTCTTGGGATTTAATAGTTGGGGTTGTCGACCATTTTCTTCTCAACGAATGTCACTTATTGTTCGACAAACACAAGTAAACTACACAGTACTGTCGCAACAACCAGACACCAACAACAAACAATTGGATTTACAGACAAACACATAACACAGTAGGCCAGACCCACCTTGATAATCAGTATACATAAATTAAATCATTGTAGTTTTAAATGTTAAAAACTATCTCTACGTACTTTTGTTCGTAAACTTATAACTCTTAGGTATTATTCTACGTAGCATTCACAGTAACGTATTAACTTTGACTTTATCATATCGGAGGATATCTGATAGAGGATTAGAACTAATGAAGAATCTACTTAAAACATTGAAGGACTAGAGCTAATATAGAATCTACCTGAAACATTGAAGGATTAGAGCTAATATAGAATGTACCTGAAACATGGAAGGATTAGAACTAACATAGAATCTACCTGAAACATGGAAGGATTAGAGCTAATATAGAATCTACCTGAAACATTGAAGGATTAGAGCTAATATAGAATCTACCTGAAACATTGAAGGATTAGAGCTAATATAGAATCTACCTGAAACATTGAAGGATTAGAGCTAATATAGAATCTACCTGAAACATGGAAGGATTAGAACTAACATAGAATCTACCTGAAACATGGAAGGATTAGAGCTAATATAGAATCTACCTGAAACATGGAAGGATTAGAGCTAATATAGAATCTACCTGAAACATGGAAGGATTAGAGCTAATATAGAATCTACCTGAAACATGGAAGGATTAGAGCTAATATGGAATCTACCTGAAACATTGAAGGATTAGAGCTAATATGGAATCTACCTGAAACATTGAAGGATTAGAGCTAATAAAGAATCTACCTGAAACACTGATGTATTAGAGCTAATATAGAATCTACCTGAAACATGGAAGGATTAGAGCTAATATAGAATCTACCTGAAACATTGAAGGATTAGAGCTAACATAGAATCTACCTGAAACATGGAAGGCTTAGAGCTAATATAGAATCTACCTGAAACATGGAAGGATTAGAGCTAATATGGAATCTACCTGAAACATTGATGGATTAGAGCCAATATAGAATCTACCTGAAACATTGAAGGATTAGAGCTAATAAAGAATCTACCTGAAACATTGATGGATTAGAGCTAATATAGAATCTACCTGATGTGTGATATGTGAGAAGTAAGTCGTTAATATAAAATATGTTTATATATATATATACAGATATATGTTTCTGTTTCATAAGGAAAAAAAAAGACTTTCACTTCAAAGGTATTTCCTGGGGATAAATAACTTAGGGCGTGAAACTTTTGGAAAAGATAGATGTTATTTGAATTAAACTTAATCAGGAATTATTATTAGTAAGGAGAGCTTGTGCCAAACTTTTCAAGTGCTTAATAGTATAATAATCGTAGAGTTCAGATAACCTATTTTGCAGCTCCGCCCTATACAACAAACAAACAATTGTAGTAATATAATTAAAATCAAGTTATTTGTATTGGATACCTGGTGTTAAGAAAACAACACTTAAAAGGTGTAAAGGCGGTTGCCCCGGCCGGTGGCTACTCTCGTTTTCCAAATAATCATACCTGTACGATTATTAATTTGGGGGAACTTTCTACCTGCACGATGCTTATTTAGGTCTGCAGGATTATTTTTTTCCGGTCATGGAAAATTCAAAATTCAATTTCATGCTATGATTTTGACATGTACAGTCATTAAATGTAAAGTCTGAATTTTTTCACTCTCCACTATTATTAAATTCTTGATATTTTTTTACCTGCAATATTATTAAATTCTTGATATTTTTCCACCTGCTCTATTATTAAATTCTTGATATTTTTCTAGCTATACTATTATTAAATTCTTGATATTTTTCCTCCTGCA